CCGAGGTTCCCATATGCTATCTTTACCCCGAATTTCCATGTTTTTTTTTTTCAGTGAATTTGACAAAAAACGGGGTGAAGTCTAAGAGTTTATCCTCCGAATTAAATAGATCCCAAGTTGCCATAGCCAATCGTTAACCCGATTTTCCATTTTTTTCTTTCAATGAATTCTAGAAAACGGGATGAATTTTGAGAATTCGGCCTCAAGTGGCTAGTACCCTAGGTTCCCATGTGCCATAGTCACCCCAACTTTCCATTTGATCAGTGAATTTCAGAAAAACGAGGTAAATTCTGAGCATTCATGCCACAAGTGGATAATACCCGAAGTTCCCATACGATATCTGTCAATTTTCAATTTTTTTTTTCAACAAATTCTAGGAAAGTGGGGTAAAATCTAAGAATCCATCCTCCCTGATGAAATAGATCCCAAGTTGCTATATCCAGTCTTCAACCTGATTTTCCATTTCTTTTTTCAAAGAATTCAGGAGAAACGGGATTAATTCTGCGAATTCATCCGCAAGTGGCTAACACGCTAAGTTCCCATATGCCATCTTTACCCCGATTTTCCATTTGATCAGCGATCGAATTCGAGTAAAACGGGGTAAATTCTGAGCCTTCATGTTACAGTGAATAATACCCGAAGTGCCCACATACTATCTTTATCCCGAATTTCCAATTTTTTTTTTGAGTGAATTTGACAAAAAATGGGGTGAAGTCGAAGCGTTCATCCTCCCAATTAATTGGAACACAAGTTGCCATAGCCAATCTTTAACCCGATTTTCCATTTTTTTATGAATTCTAGAAAAACGGGATAAATTCTACGAATTCATCCGCAAGTGGCTAACACGCTAAGTTTCCATATGCCATCCGCTTTACCTGGTTTTTCTATTTGATCAGCGAATTCTAGAAAAACAGGGTAAATTCTGTGAAATTCATCCTTTAGGTCCTTAAGGTGGAATGTATCCTAATGACTTGCCATAGCCATCTTTACCCGATTTTCGATTTGATCATTATGTGAATTTGTCGTAAACGGGGTAAATTATGACAAATCCGCCCAAAAGTGCAACAAATCCGACAATAATTTAGAAA